AAACATACTACTCTGTGCTCCAGGGCACAGCTGATTCTGAGCTGTTAAATTAGATAAACATTAATTATTTTGATTTATTGGCTCTAATAACGGTGATTGCAACAACTTAATATAACGGGTGATAGTTTTAGTTTTTTGCGTTAGCTGATTAAAGTTGAGGTAACTTAATGAAACTGGCTCCATAATTTAATTTTCTTCACCTGGAGTTCAGGACTTCAGGTCCTTCCTCTGCCTGGACAGGTTCTGCTAATTAAAAATAGCTCTGCATGTAAATGAAGAAGAGCTAATTGCTTATTGGGTGAAAAATGAGAAGAAGAAAAAAAGTGACACCCAGAAACTTCTTCAGCTCAATAAAATCCACACGTTATTCCCACAGATATCACCACGGTTGTTCTCGTTCCTCAATCTTTCTGGATCTCCCAAACTCCTGAGCAGCTGTCAGCAGGACCAGCAGGACCAGGACCAACAGGACCAACAGGAAGCAGGACCAACAAGACCAGCAGGACCAACAGGACCTGCAGGACCAGGACCAACAGGACCAACAGGACCAGCAGGACCAGGACCAACAGGACCAACAGGACCAGCAGGGCCAGGACCAACAGGACCAACAGGACCAGCAGGACCAACAGGACCAACAGGACCAGCAGGACCAGCAGGACCAACAGGACCAACAGGACCAACAGGCAGGACCAACAGGACCAACAGGACCAACAGGACCAACAGGATGGATGTTGAAACTGCTGAAACAGGACCAGATGCTGACCTTGCCAGCGACACACAAGACGAGGATTCCTGAGCTCACATCATCTTGAAAGGAGAGTTACGTTCACAGTGTGAGACTGACAGCAAGATAGCTGCAGGTGCTCCAGATAGTCGGGTCAGAGAGGTAGGAGGCTAAAAAAAGAAGAAAAAGCCGTGCAAAGCCCAACAGAATGTGTTTTATACGAGGAAACATGGTCCAATAAAATTAATCTGGGATTGGAAAACCAGCTCGCCTCCAAAGAGCTCCCAAAACCTCAGAGTTCCACATCTGGGGCTGCACTGAAGCTAATTACTTCAATACGCCGCGCTGAGGAGCGTGTTAGCCTCCAGCAAACATGAAACATGGGAACCATACACAAAAGCCCGAGGACACATCGATCTGATAAAGAAATAACCCGGCTCAAATTGGATCTTCAGACAAGCGATGCTGTTTTGTCGAAGCAGCGGCCCAAAGCCGGGGTCATGAATCCTGCAGCTGTAGCCTGCAGCTCCTGCTCCCAAAAACAAACCATGATTAATCCATAAAGCAGAGACGCCAAGCAGAAAGTTAGGTATGAAATAATAAGACTGACGGACTGTAGAAAAGAACAACAGAGCTCTCAGTGAGGGTTTGTTCAGTAAAATATGTCAGATTGTGCATCATAAAGTGTGCGACAAAGGTAGAAAGTAGCAGAACAAGAGCCTCCTACACACCTTCTGCCACCAAACTGAGACATGAATAATGAAGGAGGAAGGAAGATGGGGGAAGGTGCCATTATGTAAGCACTGAAGGTAAAACGAAAGACGGGAAAACAATCTTGGCTTGCTAACGGTAGGCTGGAGAGCCGTCTGCGCCGCGACTACCGCGACCAGGAAGGAATAATAATCACCAGTCACAAGGCAGAAAAAACTGTTTTCTGAACCCGTTTCCAGAAACAAGAACAGTTCGGTACAAAGGGACTATTTGTCTAACAAATGACAGAAAACAACAATAAGAAGCGTCGCCTCGGGGGGGAGCTTTGACAGCTAGATTGTTTTTTTCTACCAGAAACTTGTTGAACTGCAGAAAAACATTTAAAAAACTTCTTGAAAAAACATCAATGAACGTGACAGAAACTAATGCAGGCTTGTTTTTTATAAAAAGCAGTTTGTAAATATAAAGAGTTATGCATGTACCGTAATGTCCAGACTATTGAAGCACCTGAATATAAGCCCCATCCACTAACTTAAAAAGAAAACTAGTTTAGTACAGATACAGGCCGCACTCGTCTATAAGCTGCAGGTGTCCACGTAAAAACCCATAAATTAGCCACGTCATCGTTTAAGCCGCAGCGTGTGAAATAAAGCAGCGGCTTATAGTCCAGACATTACGGTAAATGTTGTGTTTTTCTGTTAATAATCAAAAATGACTTGATGCAACGAGTGCATGTGAAGAAAAAACACTTTACCGTCACAAAAAACCCACAGATGAACCGAGCTCCGCACTTTGTTAATAATAATAAAAAAACAGTCTTGTGTACATTCATGATATCTGCATAAAAACGACGTGTTTACCTGCAAAAAAAATCTAAAATTCCTTCATGCAACCAGTGCATATGCAGGAAAAACACTTCACCTTAACCTTCCTAAAAACACTGAATGAATAAAACAAAAGCTGAACAGCTCACTGTAGGTCTGTTAGTCATGTGCCTGTAAACACAGTGTGTTTTTCTGCAAAAAATAATCCAGACTTACATGATGCAACGACAGCATGTGAAGAACAAACACTCACCTTCACCTTAACGTTCCATATATATTACATATAAAACCAAACTGTAGGTTTGTTAACTCACACGATGGCAACGTCTTGTATAAACGTGTGCATACTTACATGAAGTCTTGAGAGTTTTTCTGCCAAAAATCTAGAATTTGATGCTAATAGTGAAGATAAAAACACTTGTGCGTTACCTTAACCTTCCCATCAAACCTTAGAGGAACGTTACAATAACCAAACTCCTCACTTTAGGTTTGTTAATTCACGCTATGGATGTAAATATAGTGACTTTTTTCTGCCAAAAATCAAAGATGATTCCACTCAGCTAGTGAATATGAAGGACAAACAATCTGCTAATTATTTTACGAGGTATCTGTCGTGTTCCAATAAATGTCGACAGCCGCTAAACGTTATTCAGACAGGAAAACACTCGGCGGTGCTAAAACAGGCCACATGCTGCAGCTGGAAACCTCCCCCGTCCCCGGGGAGGCGTTAATATGAGAGGAATGTTAAGAGACAGCAGCGGGACTTCATAGCGAGGCGGTCGTGTGTCATTGTAGATGATCGATTTTGTGCCCTGTAGCTACAGGAGAGGTGGCGCCGCCTCCTCAGAGTGAGCGCTGGTGTGATGCTGAGGCCTCGTCCTGACTGCTGATAAGGACGGGATCGATGGAAGTCTATAATGACTCCATGTCCACAGATCGCGCTCCGGTCGCTTCATCAAAGGCAGGAGTAGAGCACTAAACACCACTGGAGTCATGTACATATCTGGAGGGAGTCCACACCATCGATACATGTCAGGTGATCCATAACTGAATCACCTGGCAGTGACATCATTACCTCTAAACTGAACTGCCTTCATGCAACATCAAAAACTAACCGTTTAGACTGACTGTGTTAAAGTACAGACCCCACAGCACGATGCTACGGCCAGTGTCTCTCATTATCGAGATTCAAATCTTTAATTAGTTCCACTCTTCATGTGTCCACCTTAAGTTTAGAAGGTGAAGAACAATCCTCCTGAACATGCAGGACAACAGAGCTGTTTCTCTTCAACATACAAACAAAAGTGTTCGACACGTACGTCATCCTCTCATAGTTCTAGTCTGATTTCTATTTATTTTATTTTGGCATCATGCTGTCATTCCTCTTCTGCAAAGTGGGAGTCAGATTTTTTCCACAAGCATTCATGGAGCATCTAGAAACGTCATCAACACCTTCTGCCCTCATGCAGCCCCACATCATGATGCTCCACCTCCGTGCTTCACTGTCAGGACCATGATCCACTGTGGTGGTCCTGGTCAGGTTCACACCAAACATCTGGACTCCATGTGAGCCCAACACATTGATCTTCATCTGACCAGAGGATGTTCTGAAGATAATTGTTGTCTTTGCAATTTCATGCCAAAAAGCAAGCAAGAGTGTTTTTCCTGCACGCCGTCGTATACGCCACAAAGACACTGTAGTTATGTAATATCTCTGACACCTGCTGAGGAGGAACTCTGGTTTCTATCGATAACGAAACCAGTCGACTGTCCGTGGAGTCATTGTAGGAGGACGACCACTGCAGCCCTGATGAGTGCTGCTATGGCTCCTTCTGGACCTTCTGGTTCCTGCTCACACTGGGCTGCACTGGGTTCTGGCTGCTCACTGATCTTCTGGATCCTTTTCCATCGTTACGAAAACTTACCATCAGAATTTTCAGTTTCTCAAACAGCCCATAGGTTCAAAACTGAGAAGGTTCTGCTGTTCTCAGCTAATTTTAGAACCATGTTCATGCAGTCAGGCTGATGGAACTCATAGTGAAGTTGATCATGTGTACGTTCACTCTTGTTGCACTTAGACTCTACTCTGGGGCCTTAACTTTCAATAAGGCAATTATTTAGCTGCATCACTTGACATTACAGTGCATCCATTTCTGTTGTATACTGTATTTATCCACACATGTCCTGATGTAGATCATCCAAAGCTAGTGCTGCCACATCAGTGATGTCTCATCTCCCCATTCAGTGTCCGTCCACTGCATCATATGGACACGACACCAAGATAAAACGCAGCAACATCTAAAAACGTTATGTGTTCATGATGTTTTTCAGGCATCATTAATAGAAATTCTTGCAGTCTGATGACGGACAAACAGCGACACAGAAAACACTTGTCCTAACTTTGTGACCCACTTCTGCCAATAGCTGGATCAGTACATTTGGATTCTGTCAGCTAGAAAAGAGTCAAGAGAGCCACAGTACTGATGACAAACCAAAGAGCCGAGACAGGGACAGAATCTCGAAGCCGTGCATTTACCTTTTTAGACTGAACGCAAAGGAAAAAAGTACTAAAAGCTGTCAGAGTGTTGATATATATGTGTGTTAGCAGCTCTATATGATATGAATCTCAAGCTGCGTCTTGTGCTTTGCATACAAATAATATTCCAGGATATATGGAGACGCTGCAGGAAGGCACAAATAACTCTGTTTTCCTGGAGTGAAGGAACATCAGTGAGTCTCACCAGAGCAGTCCTGGGTCTGCCACTCCAGACACTGTCCGTAGGGGAAGGAGATGACGTAGGCCGAGGAGTCCACGCAGCGCTGAGTGCTTCCACACCACATGCACTCCATGGCCTGGCTGGTGCAGTTAGCGCAGCTGGTGCGGAGAGCGCACGGCGTCTTGCAGGGACGAGCGCTCTGACTCTGTGGACTCCCTGAGCGACGGCACAGATGCACAAAGAAAAGCGCCGACGTTAGGTCAGACGTGGGCGACATGATGCTATTCACTGCAGAACTAAGTTCAGAGACAATTAAATCACAGAGCAGCAGAAAATGTAGGACTGCTGGAGGTTTATTTACTCATTTACAGCTCGTTCTGTGAGTGTTTTCTACATATATAAGCTGTAATATACCTGCTAGCTCCACCGCTTCAGTCGCATCATCCAGGAGAGGATGAATTCAGCAGAGCTCAGTTTATTCATGTAGCAGCACAGAACATTTAAAGTGTACTGAAGACATGTGATGACCTAAAGTAGACCTCAAGCATTTATACTTCTGTCACTTCTAAACAACGAAGCCCATTCTGATTCCTACATTGTAGATTTGTCAAAGCAAACAAACATGAATCCTGACCACCAGTTTGAGCTTCCCGCTGTGTTCTAACCCATCTCTTCTCGTTTTCTCGTCATTCTTTGCTCACCGGCAGGTTTCTCACAGATCAGGCCGTCGGTGGTGGCGGTGCAGGGGTTGGCCTTCAGGCCGGACACCTGCGTCCGCTCCAGGTAGGCGCAGAAGCCGGAGTCGCTGGGCTCTCCGGGTAGCCAGCGCAGGCTGGTGTTGGTGAAGGGCGAGGCGTCCTCCCAGCCCCAGTACGACACGTTGATCTTCCTCAGGCCGACCCAGGGGGACAGCGTCTGCAGAGGGAAGGACGTGAAGCTTCAGAGATTGTTCTGCTGATCCTGTCACTCAGGTCACTAAATAAATGAGCTCCATCAAGCAGGAGTTCAGGTGTGTTTCCTGAAGCACTGACTGATGCTTCTGTTTGATATCACAGACACAGAAGGAGCTTAAATACAGAAGCTCAGCAAAAAACATCTGCTTCTGGGATGTTTAGGCTGAACTGGTAAACAGAGCAGCGACGAGACAAAGATGTAAATAGTAAAGTACTGACATTATGTAGAGCCACAGTTTATGTTCATAAAATAAATAAATCAAAGAAACTCAGCCTTGTTTTTGTTTTTTAAAGATTTTCTGGCATTATAGTATATATATATATATGTGTGTGTGTTTGTGTGTGTGTGTGTTATATATAATGCAGAAAATACACATCCGAGTCGTCTCTTCTTCTAGTTCTGGTTGTTTGTTTCCACAGAGGTTCAGGACTTTGTATTGCAGAGACAAATGAAAAGCGATGCCCAGAAAGTTCAGGTTCAAAGGCTCAGAGGTGCAGTCCACTTCAGAAAATGATTTCTGGGCTCAAACAGCTGACTTCAAACTATCCCTCCAGTAAGAAAAGGGATTAAAAAACAGGGAGGAAATGATTTAAGCTGCAGATCAGCTGCCACAGTCGCTGAAGGAATGTTTACAGCAGCAATAAACTAAACGGATCCTGATAATCTCCTGATGCGCCTTCTCTCTGCTCTGTTCTGTGAGTTTTTATAGAAACACAAAGTGAAAATAATGAGTCCTGATTGTAGGCAGTTCGTTCACATTTCCACGAGGACACCGTCCTAGAAACACTGAGGTAAAAAAAACAACAATAACTGGAGGATAAAAAGCTCCACACAGTAGTGATACCAGGATAAAAGGCTGGAGCCACACAGCGATGCAGCTTCATCTGTCTGAAATGAAACCTTCTGCTGATGACTGTAATTGTTATAAAAGCAAAAACACGTTCAAGACTTTCAAAGAGCCTCTAATTTATAGCAGAGTGACTGAAGTGCAGATCAGTGGACGTTTGAATCATCTGCTGACAAAGCAAGTGTGATTTCTTTAATAATGATTACAAAGGAAATATTATGACTGCGTTTACACCTGAGTGGAGCCGCTGGTCTCTGTGCAGAGGGAATCATTTCTGCAGAGATAACAAACGCACAGCATGGAAAAGATTTACAATAATCATCTGAAAACATTCAGAAGCTTCATCTTCAATAGGAGGCGCAGAAATTAAGAGAATGAACCACATCACTGCTGCTAAACGTGTTCAGATATTTGCTGGTGAAGCTGCCCATTCATCAGGCGGTCAAACAGCGTTTCAGCCTCTGACATCACTTCAGTCTGCGTCGGAGCAAAAGTAATGAGCTAAAAACATTCCCGTCCTGGCTGCCAGTTGTTTTTCAAACATCTGGCTTCGCTGAGATGAAAGGTGAGGCAGCGAGGCGGCTTATTTCTGCGCTTCATGGTGGGCCCAGGAAGCCAAATAAATAAATAAATAAATCTTTGGCTCCTTGTAGAGTTAAAAAAAAAACACATCAGAAATATCATGGTGAGAAGTTTCACCCCTCTGCACTCGACGCTGTGGAAATAAGTTGTTTTTTACAGTTTTTTGGCAAGTCTGAGGTTTGATATTAGCTTGATCATTAAAATAAACCAGAGAGCTGTAAGAGGCGTTGGTATGTGAATGTATTTTGATTTCCTTTTATTGATTGGAACACATTAAATAACTCAGTTTTTACGATGGAAAGCACACATCTAATAATAAATAACGTCACATTTATGACGCTCAGTCGACACTCTGAGCGGCGTTTCATAATAAATCACATTATTACCGACGCAGCGTCGTGGACGTCGTGTCCAGAACGGACTCTGGGGAGCTGCACGAGTGTCAAAATTAATCAAATAAACTGTATTTCATTCTCTAATGCAATGTTGCATTCAGGTACAGCTGGTTAATTAGACTTTGTGGAGCTGTAATCACCTGCATCTTTCCTTACTTTCATCATACACCAGCTCAGACACAGGTATCTATGTGCCTTCTTGAACACATCCTAAATAGATAAACCTGCAGTGTGCATGTCTGAAACGTGGATTTGACACCATAAATGACCCAAAGACGCCTCTCAACACCACCGGTAGCCCTTTGCGCCGCCACCCACCTTTTCCTGCAGCTGATACTTCTGCAGCTCCTCCAGCACAAAGTTGACCTGTTTGTCCGTGAGCAGAGAGGCGATGTTCCCTCCCAGGTTCTTGCAGTAGTGCTGGGCGTTGTCGTAGCTCTCCCTGCTGGAGTTGATCCTCAGGCAGGCCTCCCCGACGTGGTGCCAGCCGTCCCCGCACAGCTTCCCTGCACACGCACAAAGACAGGTGATGGCGTTTAGTCAACAGACAGAGGACTATATAGAGTCTCCCTGCAGCCTTGATTTTCATTAACCTACAGAAAACATAAACGTATGAGACGACTTTGCGAGATCAGATGTGCTTCAGGCTACATTCAGGCGACATTAACAGGACAGCAGACGCGTTAAAATAATCTAAACCCTAAAATTAGCACATTGAAGATCTTCGTTTCCTGTTTGGCTGCTGCAGCGAGCAGATGATTAACACGTTAACGCAGCGACATCATCACACCGAGCTGCTTCGGCATCACGTTCACACACAGACGTACACAGTCGTCGACTTAAAGCATTTTGTTTGTGTCACTACAAGAAACGCTGTCGATTAAAATACCTGAGAACATGGCCGACAGTGCAGGAGCTTCAGGACAAAACGTCTGAGAAGTAGACCACAGGATGGAATAAAACTATGTGTACTGGGTTGAGATGAACCAGGCAGAAGCAGAAAATAAATCCAAACGCAAGGAGAAACAAAGAGGAGCTGCTGTCTGATGAGGAGCAGGTAGACCAGGTGAGCAGTCAGGTGACCGGGGAAAGGGGGCGTGGCCGATGACTTCCACTGGAAAGCAGCTAAAGTCTGCTTCATGTGTGTTTGTTAATTACTTTTGACATGTGTGAATGTTCAGGTGAAGTGATTTTAGATTGTTTTAATTGTTCATTTGAAAACTGAAGGACCAAAACCCGCAGTTCCCCCGACGGCCACTAGAGGCCGCCTCTAAAAGTGAGCCGACCCCTACAGAAGCCCATGTTAAAAAGCTCGACTTTACAGCAGAAATAAAACGTTTAAAGAGCGCTACAAAAACCTATTTGGGATGCTACAGCTGATTCTTCTGCTCATAACAACTGGACAGGGGACAAGTTACATAGAACTCAACCATTTAAATTGTTTTAAGGCTTAAATGTAAGATGGCGATGGCTCTAATGGCAGTCCAAACTCTTTCTCTTTGCAAATTTTTTAATAAACTGAGAGTTTGGAGGACTCGTGCACCGGAGCACCGACTCTGATGAAGCTTTTCAGGAATCTTTTTTCCATCTTTACGTACAGTCAAAGGCTGTAACTAAATTCTTTCTGTTCAACAGGATTCCCAGGAGTTAGAAATATGTGTGGGATAAAAGGAAGGAAAAAAAAAAACCAAAGCAGAGTAAACCTGGGAGATAAATTCCCCCATAAAACTCATATATGCGCTCATTGTTCTTATCAGGGTCACTCGTGTCTGGTGGGAGACTATAATAGCAGAGCGGCCGTTCAATTAGCCGGGATGAAAGGGAAGAAAAAGTCATTCTGCCTCCGCTGAGCACCGCTGTTTATTTTGGTCTGCAGGACTGATTACATTCACAGGCCCATAATGACTTCCATCACCAGCCTCTCATGCTACAGAAAAGAAAATACCTGCTTTCTCTTTCATTTTTTTCCCTCGCCAGCGATAGAAATGGGCAATAATCGACCGAAACAAGAGGAGAAAGACAGACGACGGGGTGGAAAAATAAGAAGGAGGGTAAAAAGTAAATAGATTAGGTCTTTGTGTAAAAGTAAAAGATAAATATGTCAGAATAATTAGTCAGAAGAGAGGAAAGGTCTCGGCTGCCACCTCTAACCAGCCTCATCTGATCCACACAGCCAACACATCTCCACCTACAGTTACAGACAAACCCACAGGCTTGGTTTCCCCGTCACGCTGATGGAGCCTCATAAAGACGTGATGTATGTGAAAAGCTTCATCCCAAACCTCCACCTGCACAGTAGCTGCAGATGCTAAAGCAGCTTCTTTACATTTCATTTCTCTCCACTCAGAGCTTCAACCCAAACCTTTAACAGACTCTAGTTTCTGGAGAATAAAACAACACGTATCGCAAGAGGAATTAAACCGCAAAGCTCGGAGCTAAACTGTACCCGAGTTTAAAAAAACAGCAGGAAATTAACTGCTGTGCTGGAAAAGTCAGAGAATCGCCGCCGAAGCAGAGAGGATTATCTCAACAGTAGCAGCACTAAATATCAAAGAAGTTTTAAGATGTTTTGCTGTTTGTCTGAATACATCCTGACGTCCTCTGAGTTTGGATAATCTGCAGAGATAAGACAGAAGTCAGGACGACGGAGGATTTAAGTTACAGAAAACAACAGCGTTCGGAGGGTTTGTATTAGAAAGAGGATTGTAGGCACGCTCTGATTAATAAAGTCTTAATTCTAAATGTTGTCTAGGTCTGCTGCTCTTTGGTATCAAGAGAAAACATTAGTGGAGACAAAGAGAAAGAAAAGAAAACTCTTCTCAGCTCTCCTGCACTTTGCCCTGAAGAAGCTGCTGCATGTCAAAGAACCGAAGAAAGAGATTTTACACTAAAGTTTGGAGATGTTTCCTCTCTTCTCCTCTCCTAAGTAGTCCAAAATCTTTTCCTACTTTGAACTGAGTCCCAAGTTCACAATGAAGCAGTCA